ATATATCGGGTATATATAAAATGTGGAACCGAAACCGAGCCGAAAACGGAACGACGGTTCGAATATCCGAATGGTGGCGCAAAAACCGCGGTTTTCGGTTAACCGTGGTTAACCGTTACACTACTAATCTCTACACGCAGTGTTCATTCCCTACTGCTCCATTGCAGGATCCAACTTTGAACAAGGTCAGTGAATCGTGCAAGCGGATGTCGACTAAGCCGAGACATGACCATATATATTCATGCTCGAGGGCCCGCCAGCCGGCTAACAAACCACCTGAATCTTCTACTCATTTCATTGCATGCACTCATGTAAATGACAAATTCGTCTCCTTGCCCTTCGTGGAGCCACCTGTACGGTCCGCCCGCTCTCTGTCACCCACGAACACGTGTGACGCACGCGACCATACTGTAAGTGCCATCAATTAGCAGACAGCTAACCGATAGAGGGAAGGAACGAAGAGATTTCTCATTGATCACGCATAGTCAGAGGGAAGGATGAAAAAATTGCCGTGGGTATCTCAGGCAGCCGGGCGGAGCCGTGGGAAGGGATGCGCGAATCTCTCGCTCAGTTGCTCAGTCTCGCGGGGACGTCTCACCTTCATGCCGGAGATGTCGGCGTTGATGTAGCGCAGCACGGACGCGCTCAGCACGGACAGGTTGTTGAGGTTCCAGGGGGCGCTGACGTACTGCTCATCATCGTCGGGGAACAGCTGCCTCGTCGCCGCCGTCGGGAAGCCGCTGCCGCTCTCCCGCGTGCTCACGTCGGCGCCGTACTCCACCGACACGTCCTCGGCGACCTCGCGCGTCAGACGCCAGAACTCGCGCTCGACAACGTCGCACGGCACCATCTGGCGGCGAGAAAAACGAATTAATCACATCGATTTCTTTGTTGTTGTTGTTGTTGTTGTTGTTTTTTTTTGGTGGGAAAGCATGTAGAACGATGCTTTAGCATGTTAATTTTGCGATACGGAAGTACTGACGTAATACTATAGGTTTAATGGATGAAGGGTAGCCCCCTTTAGTGGCATGAGATACGGTTACAGCATCTAGATATTTCCGGAATGCGATGATTTTATCAAGCGAGTAAAATCAATATTCGCAACCGAGCAGCCTATGATTTCATTCCACCAGAATCATCGTTGCCCATAATCTCACGACAGCAAGTCGCCTTAACCTCAGCAAATAACTAAAAAAGAAATTCACGAAACAACTGTGCAAGAGTGCGAGCGGTCGAGAGATTCACTACTCTACTCGAGTGGTTGGACCGTCAGTGCGTTAGACTGTCGACACGTACGTGTACGGGCATGTTGAAGTGCTCTGCCTTGAAGGTGTCGGCCATCTCTCCGAACGTCTGCAGGCTGTACTGCCGCGTCGTGTAGTTGAAGCCGTACGGCTCCCTTGGCTTGTCGCACTCCTGCGGGACGAGCGACGATGATTACTCGGCGGTAATGACGTCACGTATGCAGTGCATCACGCCATGTTTTATCGTTATCCCACGGCACAACCCTACCCCTAACTCTAACCCCTAACCATAAGTCTAACCACTAACCCTAACTCTAACTCCTAATCCTCACTCTAACGACTAACCCCTAACCCTAACTCTAACCACTAACCCTAACCCTAACTCTAACCCCTAACTTTAACCAATAACCCTAACCCTAACTCTAACTCTAACTCTAACTCTAACCAATAACCCTAACTCTAATCGCTAACGATAAACACTAAGCTCCCTTAGTGGAAGGCTCCCTCGGCTTGTTGCACTCCTGCGAGACGCGCGCAACGAGCGGCGACGATTACTCGGGGGCAACAATGCGATGACGGCCGCAATGCACAGCGTTGTAGTGTTATCACACTGTGGCACCCAAACCCTAACTCTAACAATAACTCTAAGCATAACCCTACTCTAACCCTAACTCTAAGTCTAACCATAACCCTACCCCTTAACACTAACCCTACAGGTGGAGACAAAAGCACGAGCGTCGTTAATAGTTCGCACAGATCACAGATCAGACGTCGCAGGGTACTGCTGTTGCGCATAACGCACCGCAACGTAATGTAACATCGTCCTGTATCACTTCGCATCACCTCGTTTCACATCACGTTAATTTGCAGTTTACAAGTCAGCCACTAAGCGGACGTGTAAAATCATACCGCTGTACTAATAACGCACTCAATGATGCGCCAACATATGCAACGCATCCCGCTGCGTTATATCATTATTGCAAAGTGACACCCAAAACCTAATCCTAAACCCTAAAAGCCAAGCCTAACCCTAACACAGCACTACATCTATACGTGTAGCCCCCACAGGCTTTCCCACCCAGGCGCCGCGCTGTCGACGCGCGCGATTACCGACCTGGCGCACGCATTGAGGGCATCTCCAGTCGCCAGAGGGCAGCGCGGGCAGCGGTGGCACGAGGCAGAACATGTGGTAGGTGTTGTCGCAGCTTTCGCAGATCAGCAGCTTGTCCTCCTCCTCTCCTCGCCCGCACGTCAGACACACGTACTTCTCGGCCTGCAGAGGGAGGACACGCGGCGTCGATGCGATGGCTGGTTGATCTAGTAGCCCTCCCACGTCTATGTTTATTCTAACTTTCTAAGCCCTTTACATATCTAGTCTTCCACTATAACTGACGCAGTCGGCCTATAGCAGGTGAATTATCTAACCATTCACAACCGCTAACATCTCACACATAGTAGCATGTATGCTATCTAACCCATCACAACTTCTTACATCTTCCACAGTGCAGCACGCATGCTATCTAACCCTTTACAACCTCTCACATCTCACACATGGTAGCAGGTGTGCTATTTAACCTTTCGCAACCTCTTACATCTCACACAATGTAGCAGGTGCACATTCTACGCCTTCACAGCCCCTTCTACATCCCACACATGGTAGCAGATTCACAACCTAACCTCTCACAACCTGCTACATCTTCCACAATGTAGCAGGTGCACATTCTACGCCCTCACAGCCCCTTCTACATCCCACACATAGTAGCAGATTCACAACCTAACCTCTCACAACCTGCTACATCTTCACAATGTAGCAGGTGCACATTCTTACTCTTCACAACCCCGCAACATCTCACACGCCCCACCTACCGATTCCAGAAGCAACAAACCACAGTTACCTTTCCCCTCCGTCACTGTAGATCACGGTACAAGACACCACAGTAAGAGAGCATCACGATAGGTCCTAGACACCATCCTACAGCCCACGCGTACCATCTAGATTCACGTTTGAGAGGCTAACTGACCACCGGGAATTTCTACTAGATCTACTCGAGTGACTTCATTGTGCGCACTCACATAACTGATGAGCTTCGTCTCCCTGCCCTTGGTGGCGCCACCTGCTTGATCTTTGTCTCCTGCAAACGTCTCGCCTATAAACAAGTGCACAGCTCTGCTGCATTTCGACAGTCCATAGAAAGGAAACATATCCGGGGGGGAGGGATGTAAAGGAACTGTCGTTTTCCACTGCCGGTAGTTTACATAACAACTCATAATCTGACCAATACTCGAGTCGAATTTAAATGATTTTTAATCGATTGAAAATTACACGTCCGTCTTCAGATTTGCAGTTAGAACAAGTAAAACCTGAGAAAGCGAGCAGGATAAATTCAGTCAGCAATAATAAATGAGTAAAACACTAGCAGATGAACAATGCAATCTCAGCTATACCTATAACACATGTAACAGCTGCCTTTGGTCCTGGGCCGTAGAACTGCAGTCGTTTCAGCTCCTTGTTGGCCTCGTAGTCGACGGATATCTTCTCCTGTTAGTCACAAACACAGACACACAAACACATCGTAATAACATACATATATAATGTGAATAACGTACAAATAAAATCAACTGTAGCGAGCGTCAGAGCTTTGATCGAAATGGCTGTGGCTCTGACGTATCAGCAGCATATACCACGTATACTGCGACGTTTAAAATTAACGTCTCGAAGCCATCTGCGCGCTCGTCACGCGCGGTGTCAAGCGGCTTATGTGTGGTGTCACGCTCCGTACCTCGACGATCGCCTCCTTGGCGACTCGTTTCGATCGTCGCGACGTCACCGATTCTGGCCGTTGGGCGTTCGACTTCGCGTCTTTTCCCGTCTTGGTTTGGCCGCCCTGCAAACGTGTGCGCAATAGCGGTGTGAATTTTACGTTGAGGACTAATCTTACCTATACGCTACTGCACCTAAAACGTCCGACCTTCTTATTCTGGTTGCTTTGTGCTACTAGTAACCTCGTAACAATGACGTTACACAATCCAAGGAACGATGACTAATAAAAAAGTCAAAATATTAATAAAAAACAACAATGCATCGCTACTCAGAAATGCGCTGAGTCGACGTTCACGTAGTTTTGTGGTTGATTGATTGCCAGGGAAATGAAGCCATCCTTCAACCCATCTTTGATAGGCATCACAGAACGACACCCTGCTCGCCTCACCTCTTTGTTTAGGCGTAATCCGGCTGCAAAGATATCGTACGGGTAGAGGATCCTGTCGTAGTGCTGCTTCAGCATTCCAGCCATGCCCTTGCTGGGCGTCGACATGAACCCCATGAGCCGGCTGACATTCGGCCAGAGCTTTCGCAGTGTGACAGTCTCGTACCCTCCCTCATCCTTCACCACCTAGATGACAAAGTACGAAGAAGGTTGAGCACGAGCTTGGGTTACTCCTCGCGGTTTACGAGCCGAGTGTGCACATGACCGATCAGTCTTGTACTAGCATTATAGTTTCTAGTGTCAGATATGAAAGAGCCGGCCATTTTAACATAGAGATTTCAAGATCGTACATGTCGCTGCCTATTTTATTAAAGATTTCCAAATTCATTTCTATTCGTTTTTAATTCGTTCGATTTATATAATTTTAATGCCGGACATTTGTTGATGATGAAGTCAAGATTCCTCACCTTTCTCAGCCTGTACAGATCCAACACTGTTTTGTCAACAGTGGGAAGCTTCAGTGGCGACCCCTGTGGAGTGAATTACAGAACAATAAATGCACGATACATCAAAACATATAAGTTCTCATCCTTTCGTTACCATACGGATATTTTCAAATGCATTCATTCAGATCAAATTTATAAATAAAAACATGTGGTTTTTACAATTACCTGAAGCTCCCAGAACTTGGAAATTTTGTCGAAAAACTCCAGCCTCACGCGTGTCGTCGCCTGCGAGATAAAAAAACATGTGGACGCTATTTGAAGGGTTGTCTGCCAATCGGCTGTGTCTCGTAACAATGCCCAGATATAGTACAAAAATTATTCAAAAGGATCAGATTTTTTTCAAAATTATTCAGATCACTCTTCTGTAACTCAAATGCAAGCACATTATTTGCTTTCTAAAAAGCCCATGTCATTCCAGCTATTCGTGGTCCATAATAAATAGATGTTTTCACCTACCTCTAGTTCGCTAAGCCTCTGAATACGTGGTGAGAACTTAAATCTGTCCACATCAATAGCAAAGGGTGGCTGCCACTCCTAGAACATACAATGAGGACTCGGTAATCTCCCAGGTGGCTTACACGACTCTATATACATCGACTTGTGGGTCACCCAGTTCAGCATACCAAATGTCCCCGTTCACTTTAATCTCGAATTCACTTCAAAACATGAATAGGTAAGTAATTCATGACTAGTCTACAGTTCAGTGAATGAATCAGAAGTTTTAGCTTTGCATTTTTTTTAACTTTGTGACATTTTAGCATATGACTGAGAAGGGGATGGATCGACTTTAGCTTAAGAATCATGGCTGCCACGTTGACGTGATTTGAGATAGAACGATCCCCGCCCGATTTTCACCTTACATTTAGCGTGATACTGATACTGATAGGGGAAATCAGGCTGGTCACACAGTCAACACATACTATTACTAGTTTAAACTACATGACATGTGGGTTTCTTCTGACTTTGTGTTAACTACCAGTGACAATTGATTGCGCAACAATCAGCATATGCCAATTAGTTAATGTGCTCTCGTCCATTCCATTGTGATGATTGTGCTCCGATAGATTATCGGTGACCTGATCAGAAGTTGATCTGTACGACTGACACGTAAGTTAATGGTTTTCTTTCTACACACCTGCTACATAGATATGTATTGCTTACCGGCGGTGGTATTATTTTACATATCCCATGCTTCTCTGCCTCTGGTCTTATTTTTGCAATAAAGCCCAGGGGGTCGAGCCAGTCGTCTCCGAGTGGATGATATACGGGGCACTCGGGTGGGCGAATAAACTCCTCGGGGGAAAACATCCTTCAGATGTTTCAGATGTTTGTGTAAGTGTTATTAAAGATAACTTACATTATCCTAAACAAAAGAAAACAGCTTCTGTAATCACAAATTTTTCAACAACAACCTGGTGCCTAACAACATCCAAGTGTAAACCACTTATACGCGGTAAGCATATAAAGTAATCCGAGGGCGGTAAAGCAGTTTTTTCATTAAACTTGTATTATTATTACTTAGTTTTTACTCACTTACGTAAACAGCGTGAAAAATACATCATTTATGTAACGATTCGGTAACAAGCTACGGTTTATATGCGTTTTATAAGATTCCCATTACATTTTTGCGGATTGATTTCTGGAGGCTCGGTTTACAGTATTCATGACATGAAACGAGTACTTTAATTGGGCGAGCTTTATAAGAGTGGCGAATGTGTACTCTGTTTACGGACCTGCTTTCGGCGGAACACTCAAAATGGCGTCAGCCGCAACAAAATCTGCACAAACTACCCAAACATTCAGGTTTATTATCATAATTTTACGTTGTTAATGTAGATTTCGCATAATGGTGACGATACCATGTCTTAGAGTATTACTATTTTCCTCTCAACCAAATTTCACTCCAAATTTCTCTATCTGTGTATATAATATCATAAACGGTATTTGTTGCGTAGGCCTACATCATTCATATGATTTATTTACATTTACAATCTGACAATCATTGTTGTGATGAATAATGGCAAATTTAAATAGAAATGAAGTTATAATAATAATGTTGAGCGTTTGTGACGCTATGTCAAATTATTAAATTTTTTCGTGAGCAGGACAGACACAGCAAAGCCAAAGAACAATGGTCGATCGAGGTCCCCGAAACGTAAAAAGCAAGCTGACGAGTTGCCAAGCATTGCTGAGCGGCTGGCGAATCTCAGACCGTCACGAGAGTTACTGGAACACTACAGGTTACACAATTATAAACATAGCGTTCTGTGATTGATTATGATATCACAACATACTGCATGATGATGATGGTTGCTGAAATATTACTGTTGAAATGTAACTTGGTCTGTTCCACGGTTGACCACATTGACATTCATTTCATCATCTACATTTCATCGTTCAGTCACTTGTGTTACAAATGGCTTCAGGGTGAGAAACTAGCGGTCGCCCAGTCGCCAGTGGCGATTAGAAAATCGACCGGGCGACTGCTTGCTCGTGTCAGCTGGTCCGGCGGGGCGACTAGATAATCGCCGCACAGGAAATAAAAAATTTACCAAACTGAGGCCATAATAAAAAAGTTGTTTGTTTGCCCTTCCCGATTTAAAAAAAAAGTTTTTGTATGTGGCAGGTCTGCGGCAAATTTACGCGGGCTACAGTACTAGAGCTATGCACAGCCTGGCTGCGTAGGTGCCCACTGGCTGGGCGGCACTGATTGAAGTAGGGGGGAGGAGCGAGTGCATTATTGATTGTTTCACTTTCAGCTGCGTGCCAGGGTGCATATATGTTCATTATTACATATGTAGGGGGTGGCCGGGCACCGCTGGTATGAGAGCGCGACAGCAAAACTTTCCTGGAATTGGAAATCGCTATATTATAATTTAGATATTAAATAACTTAATTATGGATCTAACTCTGACAGATTAACTTTATTTCCCTTTCCAAAGACTAATATGTGCTAAGAAGATATTTATTATTTCTTAATTCAAGTTCCTTTTATTTTTAATGCTTTTATTTCCAGATTACGGGTATGTATGCGTGCGTGCGTGCGTGCGTGATCTGGAAATAAAATCATGCACAATTTAGCTCTGATGAACACACACTGTACAATGTACATTATATAAATCTGTAGGCAAACATAAAAGGTATCTCCACACAAGCACACCTGAGCCCGTAGACACTATTGCTGAATTTGTAAAAAGACCCCCCTCAAAAAAAAGCCGACCACACTTTCATGTCGGGTGAGGGCAAACAAAAAATTGTTTAATTGTGGCCTGATTATTTTGCCCCACATCCGAGTCATTCACTTTGCTATGACAGAAATCCTGGACCAGTACCTACTGACCAGGACCAGTACTTCCTCAGAGGCACTGGTCCTGCTGGACCAGTGCCTCCAATTATCAGTTTTCCACCCTGGGCTTAATGTGTCACTAATCAGGTGTTCAAATCCGTAGCCTACAATGATTGAGTATGAACATGCCTAATAACTTGTTTCTGTGATCTACATTTACTCTGAGCCTGCTTTATTCCTATTGCTTATTGCTTTGTTTGAATTCACGCATTGTTTCCGCTCGCAGAGAGAAGATTGCGCAGTACGATGAGGAACATGAGGTCCTCACCAAGAAGCTTGATGACTGCATGGCTCTGTGCGAGAAACAGGTACTTACTAGAACTTCCCTGACATCCCAAACTTACTTAAGTGTGTGTCAGGCATTACCTCTGTTTCAAGTAATACACGTGAACGCTATGTAGACGTGTGATGTGTAATGTGAACGTGATGTATGGATCGAATATCTCTGTCCTTGCCGAAATTCGCCACGTACAAATTTCAGTATATGTGACGCATTATCTGTGCATAATCTCTATAAAAAAAAACCACGAGGACATTACACTAGATGTCGATCAAATTAGTGTGTTTCTGTCAAATCTGCCATGTGTCGGGAACAAGCGTTTCACGTTGGTTTTCAGCACAAGCTAGAATGGCAGCTGCAGCAGAGAAGCGACGAGATTGCGGCGTTGCAGAAGGCTCTCAGCGACATACAGGTGCACCTGTTCCAGGAGCGGGAACACGTGCTGCGGCTGTATGCTGACAACGACAAGCTAAGGGTGAGGGCCCAGTAAACGCTTCTGCCAATCTTCTTCCTCTTCTTCTTCTTCTTCTTCTTCTTCTTCTTCTTCTTATTCTTCCTCTTCTTCTTCGTCTTCTTCATCGTCTTCTTCTTCTTCTTCTTCTTCTTCTTCTTCTTCTTCTTCTTCTTCTTCTTCTTCTTCTTCTTCTTCTTCTTCTTCGTCTTCTTTCTCTTCTTCTTCTTCATCTTCTTCTTCTTTCTCTTCTTAATGCGACGCCATATACGCTGAATACATGGCCCTGTGCAGAAGCTTGCATTACTGCAGAGTATCATTGCTATCGTAATCAACACTAAGTGCGGCGTTCGTTAGTCACGTGTTCGAAATTAGCCGCGGAAATCTTAGTACCTATCGTCGTCTCTCCTTGGCGAGAGTTATGAGTGCGAGTTTTGCCACGATTCCTTTAGATTCGCGAAGCCGAGGACAGGAAGAGGATCCAGCAGCTTCTGTCTCTCGCCGGAGCGGAAGAAGACGAAGTCACCTACCTCATGCAGGTTCCCACGAAGATGCCTCCGATGCCGGAGATGTACCCCGATAGCCTGCGTCACCAGCTGTTGGCCGATCAGGCAGACAAGGTGCCTTAAATTGACTACGTCACAAATTTTCTATGTTGCATATTTGTAAAAAAAATTGTTGCAATTTTTTTACATGAAAAATAAGCACTAACGGCACTAAATGTATCTTCGAATTCTTACCTGATAAGATTGCTTTTCAATTAGTTAAACATCCAAAAAATCTGGGCGATTTTATATATTGGTCACGACATTAAATGCTTGCTATGGGCTAAGTATGAGTCACGGGTATTTGTTCGCATCAAACGGAATAGCAAAATAGAAAGTTTAATGCAGCAAATTTAACCATAAAAGTGAACAGAATCACTTACATTTCGTAAAAAAAAAGTGGACATAATTTGTTTTACTTTTACTATTTACGGTGACGTAAGCACTTTCAAAGTGACGTAACTAGTGTGCCAGGTCCTGTGGGCTGCAGTGACTAGGTCGAGTGTAGTGCAGTGACCAGAGAAGATAGAAGAAGACTAGCGGTGTCGTAGTTTTCCGTGTAAAAATGTCGATGGATAAAAATGCAAACTGAACATTTTTTAATTGAGAGACTTGAAAATGCTAAACTTGGTTTGTGTAGCAGCATGTAGAGTCAATTGTGAAAGTATGTGAGATGCTAAATCATAAGTGTTCAGGTTAATCACAAGACAGGTACCGGGTCAAGTCATCATCATCATCATCAGTTTAATGTCCGTTTTCTCTTTCGGGGTTGGACAGTATTCAATCCCAAATCGTACTCAATTTGTAATTTGTGAAAACACATTGATTCTAGAAGTCGACAAAGGCCAGCCGAGCAAAGAGGAACAAACGTCCCTCGTCAGTCGATTCGGAAAAATTCAAATTGCAAAATGATACCCTATCATTGCAGGTAAACCATGCTTTTTCTTCAATGACGGCAAAAATCGGCCGTGACTTTATTTATTTTTTGTGCACACATACTTGTAGCAACACCTGCCATTTGCAGCAGAACAGCATAAATGAGAAAAATACTGCTGCAAGTATGCTGGTAAAGTAATATTAATTAAAAAATTTCAAAAATGGCTTCCCAAATAACAATTCTAATAATGTAAGTATGCATATAAATCAAATCAAGAGTCCAAAATACAAAAATTGGAAAAAAAAATTATTTCTAT